GCATGCCAGGTTGTAGTCACTCAGAGACAGTGCGTGGTCACTGGCTTCAGCCACATCCTCTGCCGGTCATGTGGTCGCTCTGAAATGGAAATAGCGATTGATTTCCCCGAGATACAAGGTCCAAGGGGTGGAGGGCAAATGAGTGAATGTTGCCAATACGGTCCAGGTCCTCAGAGCCACTTGGCAGGGCTGTGTGGGTGCACTGTACTGTCCCATGGCACCATGCCCGACCCGTTGGTGCCTGGTGGCCTCACAACACAGCAGCGTGTGGCCAGAGGCCTGAGACGTTGTCACCTGGGTCTGCAGTGGGAATTTGTAGCAGCATTTCAGGGAGTCCAGCTGCAGAGGACAAGAGGGCTTGTCCTTAATGGTGTCCTGGGGTGGCACAGGGGCAGGAGCCACAGTCCTGAGGCTGCAGGAGCTCCAGGAAGAGGCAGGACTGTGAGCTGCAGAGAGCCTGGGCCATTGCTGACAGTCAAGAGCTCCCAGGGCACTGGGCTGGACTCTGGGGTCTTGGAAGACGCCACCAGGCCCATCTGCTGTGGGAACAGCGATGCAGCAGGGGAAGCAAACCTCAGAGGATGTTTATATGACCTCCATGTGGGATGAGCCTTCTTAAGACAGGAAATTCAAAAGCTACAAAAGAGCTGTCACAGTTTACTGGATGAATTTTCAACATTTCTGAAGAGCAAAAATGCTGTCTACAAGGTCAGGAAGACCACAGGCCAGGGAAGCACTGGGGGGATAGGACTGGCAGACCCTGTGGGGAAAGTGTACCCCGAAATCAGGATCACCCGGTCCAGGGTGGGAACCAAGGGCCAGGGAAGGGCAGGGTGAAGCCCAGGGCATTGGGGCTCGTGCGGGAGAGGCCGGCCTTGGCAAGCAGCATGGAGGGTGAAAGGGCCAGGCTGGGCGTCGGCTGGCTCAGGGTGCCCTTGTGCCAGGCGTACTGCTGTTCACTCCTGCGAGGGTAGTGACCAACCCTCAGCCATGTCACAGGCAGAACTGGGGACGATGGAGAGAAGTGATTTGGAGTAGGGCCGAGAGGGCCAGAGGATGTGTCTGGAGTGGCCCTAGCGCCCTGTCCTGTCCTGACTGGTGCAGCTGTGGGGCCAGCAGAGGGCCCAGACCAGCGTCCCTCGGCCCCTGGGGTACCAGCCGTGACTACTGGAGGGCCACAGTGCTGCTGCGCCCGCCTGGAGCTGTCTCAGTCAGGCCCGCTGAGCATGGTGACAGGTCCGCCCAGGTGTCTGCCGCAGGAAGCCCTGAGCGTGGACCCAGACACGGCACGAAGGCCACGCCAAAGGCGGCACCTCTGACAGGCCCATCATGGCTCATGCCGCCACCAGTGTGGGTGCCCAAGCGCGGGGACAGTGGCCTCCCCAGGTGCACGCCCGCGCCTTGCCGAGGTGAGGCCCGCAACCGGGCGCTGCCTTCAGCGGCCATGCCAGCTACCCCGTCTGAGGCCGGACCCCACGGCTCAAAGTGCGTTCTGACAGCAGCAGGCTTCTGGAGCGGAGCGGCTGCCTGTACACACCCACCTGCCTGTGCAGCCTGTGACTTGGTGACATGGAAGTGTCACCTTCATGGGAAGTCAAGATAGAACGGCCGGAAAGTCATGCTTCTGAAAGGTGGACTGCAAACAAGCATGATCCATTTTGGAACTTGGCCATTCTGGGCTTGGCCTCATCTCTGTCCCCCAGAAGACCCTCAAGGAAGAGGGGCTCATAGGATAAGACCCAGCAGCATGTCGAAGGGACTCACCGAGTCATTGTGCCCCATGGAGCCAGGAGCCAGCTCGTCTGGGCTTCCCATTCTAGCCCTTCAGTTCATCAGCTGGGCAGAGGGAGACAGGGATGCACCTGTCCCTGAAAGCCACACTGTGACCGGCCAGGCAGCGGTCACAGTGTCTGTATTGCCAGTTGGGACATGGCACCTGGGCCTTGGCCCAGCATTCCCTCAGCATGGTGTGGAAGTCCCAGCACAGGTGCCAGCTGGGTCTGCAGCGCCGTCCCCACCCCAAGGCCTGCCGCTCATGGCACCTGAGAACAAATGGGCTATGGCAGGAGTGGGGTAGCACCTGGGCCCCAGCATCTCCAGGAGGAAGGCTCCATGGGGCACATCTCCTGCTTTGTGGTTGTACGGCTCTGTGGGGTCTCAGGACGGGCCCCATCGGGCTGGTGCAAGGCAAGGGAGAAAGCCTCCTCGCCCTGCTTGTGTTCCCCGAGACTACTGTTCTCTGAGGGCCCTGGGAGAATGTCGGTCTCAAATCCAAGACCTTGCCCTTAGGCACCAGAGATGCCAACTGTGGGAATAGCTGGGACTGAGGTCTCCGTGGGGGCTCCAGTTTCTGCTCAGCCGGGGCTGCAGTCCCTCTGTGCCCCATTGGGTTGTTCTGCCTTGGGAGAAGCAGCCTCTCTTGAAGCTGTGGAGGGACTGGGCCTCAAAGGAGCAGAACCTGCTGCTCCCCTATCTTGGACTTGTCTGTGTGTCTGTGTCCACCAAGGCCCTGCTAGCTGTGGGAGGGGACAGGCCCTGCACTCAGGAGTCCCATGCTGTGCCCCGGGGGATCCTACTGATGTCCACCTTGCTCCTCAGTGACAGCAGCCATCCAGAGCTCATTGGGGCCCCTGTGCAGCGGCAGCTGTGCCGTGTGGCTTCCAGAGGGGCCAAGCCAGGCTACCTCCCTAGGCCTGGCTTCACGTCCTCTGTGGTCTCTGTGACATGTCCCCATGCTGCCCGCCTCCTCACTTGCTGTCCTCTGTGCTGTGCCCTGCCCACAGGTCTACCACCTCCGGACCCTGGCGCTGGCCTTCATGGAGCGCACCGTGGTACAGAGGTTCCACACGCACGTGCGCAGCCCCAGCGTGCCACCCTCATTGCGGGCCGTGCTTGGCCGGCTCAGCACACTCTACGCTCTGTGGTCTCTGAGCCAGCACACGGCTCTGCTGTACAGAGGTGAGGCTGCTGCGCTGCCGCTTGCCTGCTAAAAGCTCAGCCCAGGGCTGTGACCATCGCACGCAAAGTGCTGTGTGTCTGTGTGACACCTAACCTAGCAGCTGCAGAGAGGCCTGAAGGAGGGGCCAGGCCATGGTAGACATAGGATGGCAGCTGCGGGCAGTGTGGGGCTGGAGGGCATCAGGACAGGAAGCTCAGAATCAGCCTGAGCCAGGAAGGTCCTTCCCAGGGTCCCAGCAGGGCTGGAGTAGGGGGCAGTGGCTGCCTGGCATCTCATCCAGCCCAGGCTTCAGGGCTAATGCAGGATGGGCATGAGGGGGGCTTCGGACAGCACAGGCCGGACCCACCCTGACAAAGCTGTGTCTGCAGGTGGCTACCTCGCTGGTGAGCAGGCAGGTCAGGCACTGGAGGCCGCCATCCTGGATCTGTGTGCCCAGGTGGGTGTCCACGATCTCCTATGCAGTGCGCCACCGCCCAATACTAACTCACCCCTGTAGGAGGCAGCTTTCTGTTGCTTGGAAACCAGCTTGCAGGAGGACAGGGCTGCCGTGTCCAGCAGTTTAAGGGTTCCTGTGCATGGTCTGCTGACTCCCTTATTTCCAGGCCTGTGGTGGGGCCCAGTGTGGTGGTGGAAGGGAGTGGTGGGGCAGCGCTGGTCACTGCGTGGAAGCCAGGTGCAGAGAGGGGAGGGGAGGACAGGGCAGAGGCCCAAGGGCGCCCCAGTGGTGCCTCCCGGATCAAGCCTTGCACTCCCGTCTCCACCGCTGGCCAGCAGCCATCAGATATGACCCACCAGCAGGTAGCCCATCTGTGAGTCTGAACCCGCACATCTAGCACCTTCCCAGGGCCACCTCAGAGTACGTCCAGCGAGAGTCATTCTGTCTACGCCATGCTCAGTCCTCCAAGGACCTGCATGCCCAGGCCAGGCGCTGTCATCTGCAGGGGCCTTGATGTCCATCTGCGTCACAGCTGTTCTCCACTCCAGTGTCCCTGCAGGAGTGGGGCCCACGGCTCTCGAGGAGGCCCTGTGCTGCGGCAGTGCTTGTGAGCTGTGAATGCTTTCTCTGTCCTGTGCCTGGACACAAGCGCTAAGGCCCAGAGGCAGTGCTCAAAGTCAGTCACACTTGCTTCTCGTGCCAGCATCCTTCGCTTGTGGAAAATCAACCCAAATGTCTCAAGCAGGGGACAGTGTGGTGGGAGGTATTTGCGCACACACGAGGACCTGACCAGGCCGGGCAGAGATGGCGCCTGAGTCACCCAGCTGCCTCCGCTGGCTCGGGTTTCTGTGGCCAGCTGGCCGTAGCAACCAAGGCCTGCCAGAGCTGTGTTACTCAGCAGTCTCCATGGAAACCATGGCTGTGGCCAAGCGTGTGGACTCTTTTCCAACAGCTGAAAGATGATGCAGTGGCCCTGGTGGACGTGATTGCCCCTCCTGACTTTGTCCTGAACTCCCCGATTGGCAGAGCTGACGGCGAGGTGAGGGGAGCCCCCACCAGAGCCCGCACAGGCAGTGGCGTGGGTCTGAGGTGCTGTCACTCTTGGAGAGTGTCTAGGGAAGCTCACCCGCTCCTCCTGACCAGCTCTGAGGTTTCAGACACCCATCCCTGATGCCTTTTCCTTACAGGTCCTGGCGGCGGGCGGGAGGGTGGCACCTGCCCCAGGGCCCCCGTGCTGCGGCCCACCCCCTCCTTCCTCCCCTCCCCTTCCCAGCCAGCATGCTCCTGCTGCAGATCCTCCGCCCACCTGGACCTTGAGCCCCCAGCTACCTGTCCCCCCAGCCCATCCACACTGCTAGGGACACCCCTTCCCTGCCCACCTGTGCAGCCCACAACCCCCACGTGGCTTCCTGATTTCTTTTTGCCCCCGAGTTCCAGAATGGCTTCTTAAGGAGCAGGTTGGGAGCCCCTGACCCACACCTTGCACCCCAGATTGAGCCAGACCTCTTGGTACCCTAGCCCCCCCCCCCGAGCCCTGTGGCCTTCCACTTCCCCCTCACACCGTCCTCCTCGCTGGCCCCTCACTCTCCCTGAGCCCTGGGCTTGCTCTCACCCCAGGGCCTTTGCAGCTGCTGTCCACTACCCAGTGGGCTGCCACTGTCCTGCCCCGTGACCCTCCAGGTACTCATCTCTGAGCTGGGTTGTCCCCCTGCCTTCCCCCTTCAGTCATGCTGCCTACACAGGTCTGCCAGCCGGCACCCAGGGGCCCCCATACTCCTGACAGTTGGACACCACGTGTCCGTGCATCCAGGTCGTACACTGAGACCTTGCTTACACCCTGAGCCGAGAGCAGGCATCATTTCTACCCCAGCCATGTCTGTTCCACAGCCCTGGGGGCCTGCTGACAGGGAGGCTGCACATAAGTGACAGCCCTGTCCCCGCCCTCAGGGGACACGGGAAGTAGCACCTTGCAGGCCTGTCCAGGAAGGCGGGCAGGCACCCCTGGCTGAACACAGTTCAGGCTGGGGAGGTCCCGGTAGGATTAGATCAGGACAGAAGGGAGTATGCAGAGGATGGACCGAGGTCGCACGAGGGTGCTTGCTCTGAGACCCACGCCTGCCTTGCATGCAGTGTGTCCACACACGGATCCACAGTGACCTAGCATGTGCCTGCCCTGGGGCTGCCCAGCCAGCAGCTGGCCATCGGATGTGGGTAGGACTGTGGGACGGGTGAGTGGGGCCTGCACACCATGCTGCACGGGTCCTGGGAGCTTAGGGCACCATGCCGGTCAGCCAGAGTTGAATCAGGCACAGGCATGCAAGCTCTGCACCATGAGTGTGGTGGCGGTGTGCCCAGAGGAGGAGAGGCCCGCCTGTGCCCTCCAGTTCTGGCCACTGCTGTTAAGTCTGAGCCTCCAGGGGTGTCACCTGGCAGTGCGGCTTACGCGTGCACCTTTCTGCCAGTGCTAAGACCCCGATGTCTACCCCAGGTGCTGCAGGTAAGGACTCACGTTGGAGTGATGGGGTGGCCGCCCTGGGCAGTCCAGGGTGCTGCCTTCTGCAGCAGGCTGCCGCAAAGGTCTCAGAGATGTTACCCTTCATAAGTGCATTTTATGGCGCTTCATGCTTGAACTTTCCTCACTGCTTTCTACTAAGAGAAAGCTTGTATAAATTAAACTTAAATCATCTTAACATTTTCCTAACAAGTGACAGCAAGGAATTTCCTGTCTGACAGAACTGCCCGAGGGGCGGCCTGTGCACACCCGCTGCATAAGGGTCTCTCGCCCGCTTGAGAGCTCTCACCGTCCTGTGTGTTCTGTGTCCCGCAGCTCTCTAAGAACCTGTGGGGCGCGGTGCTGCAGGAGAGCGGCGTGCTGGAGCGGGCGTCCTGGTGGCAGGAGTTCTCTGTGCACCGACCTGTGGTGGGCAGCCTGAAGTCCAAGCTGTAGCTTCCACCAGCCGGCAGAGAGCAGGGCCGAGCAAGTCCCCTGGCAAGACGGGGACATGGAGTCTGGCTGCCGAGACGCCGGGATGGGCCTGTCACACATGGTCACGCTGGGTGGGTCATACCAGATGTGCAGGGCGGAGCTGGGGTGGCTTGGCCAGCTGTAGGGACAAGGAGGCTCGCCTGACCGGTCTCCTTGGTAACTATCAGGCCTCAGCAGTCGGGTTCCTGCACACGCTCTTCTCAGGCACAGATGCCGAGCGTGAAGCAAACTGCTTATAATTAAGGATTTTCTGGGCTGGTGAGATGGCTCAGTGGTCTAAACCACCTACTCAGAACAAGCTTAGCAAAGCACAGCGACCGCGGTTCAATCCCCCAGCACCACATGCCAGCCCGCCCCGCCCCCTGGTGGGCTGAGCTGGACACACACACACACACAAATAAAATTTAAAAAAAAAAAAAAAAGAAACAAGTTTAAAAAAACCAGAAAAGAATGTTTAAAAAAAAATTAAAGATTTTCTGTCCGGATGATCTTCTGAATGCATCTGAGATTTTTTACACAGCTCTGCTTCGCTGAGAAATTAACCATGCCGCTCTGATTCTCTGTGAGTCTAGTGTGATTTTGTCACACGTAATTATGTTAGGACCTGATTTGTGGGCAGAGTGACATAGTTTAAGGCTTTGTAAGGAACATGTTTTATTACTTTCTTCTGTGGAATGAGAAGTTTCCACTGAGAAATGATTCCCAAAAAGCAGCACGAGTAATCTGAACTTCAGAATGCTTGGCTGCTGGTGTTCCCAAAGCAGGTGGCACACCCAGTGCCCCTTGCCTGTCCTGGCATGCTTCAGCAAGCCCACGTGCCTGGCATGCCCTGCAGTGCCAGCCATGGTGCCAGCCACAGCGTGCGTGAGCTCTTCACGCCTTTTAAGGAGTTGAGGTCCACTCAGCCCATCTCTTCGGCTGTGCTAGAAAATGGGAATGAAAGATTCCAGCCTCTCGGCCACGCGATGGGTTGCGTGGAGCGCAGTAAACTGCAGGGCTGGCTGACGCCCAAGGGGCTGCTCCTCCAGCTGAGGCAGGCCTCAGAGGCCTGGCTCCTGGGCTCAGCTGCCCGCCAGGGCTACCAGCCCAGGGAACCCAGGACCTGGTGTGGGGAGCCTGTCAGGGTGCCTCACTCCTCACCCTGGAGCAGGGCTGTCCAGGAGTATTGGGTCAGGGCAAACAGCGGGCAGCCTGCAGGAGCCATGGGTGACCCGCAAGGCCCATTGCAGGGGTTCAAACCCCACACAGCCCCGTCCTGGAGGCTTCCTACTCACTCCCCCTAGTCTCAGGCACAGCCAGAGTAGGCTAAGGTGCTCAGGTGATAGAGAAATTCCATTCTGAATAAAGATTGTTTAAGAAAAGAAAAAAAAAAGCAGTTAAGATTTAATTTCTGCTTTCTGCCACTTTGGCTGTGCATAGTGCTGGTCATCAGATACCGTGTTGGCGGCACAGAAAAGTTCATAGAAGAAAATAAGTGTCAGGGACAGCCTCACACAGGAAGTAGTGCCCATTTGTGCTTTGTTCAGTTATGCTGAGCCCTAAGGCCACAGAACTGTGGTCGCTCTTAGTTTCTGCCAGGTTCCTTCCATCCAGCAGCAAGGCCTGGGCAGTGACAGTGACCTGTGCCACCACCTGCTCCTCATGCCCCCTGGTGGTGTCCCTCCTCCAGGAGGCAGCAGTGAGCTCATGCCCTTCCCAAGTGTGGCTTCTCCAGCCGGAGGAAGCGTCATGCTCCTTGTGGGCATCTCTTCTGACCCTAGAGGCCGCCCGGGCCGCTCTTCTGTCACGAGACACCAGCTCTGAGCAAGTGGGACTTCTGGTACTACCAGCCACCACAGTGGGATGCACAGAGTGAGATGGGTCAGGTGCCCAGCAGACCCTGTTGCGCCCAGGGGAGGGGGCTGCATGGCGCCCTACGTGTCAAAGAGCGGGAGTAGAGAACCTGACTCACTGGGCTGTGGCGAGCATCGCCAAAGCTGATCTATGAAAGCGCGTAAGATGGACCTGGCCCGCAGGTGCTGCTTGGGGCGTCCGCTTCCACAGCTGCTGCCCGGGCGCAGGTGGGCACCCCAGGCTGGGCATCTCCACCCGCAGCCTTTCCATTGCTCCACCTGCCTCCCACCTCATGCATAGACACACTCTTGTCTGCCGGCCCCCGAAAAGGCCATTTTAGTTTTTCAATTTCAAAATTCATGACATTTTTTCATAGTAAGAGTAGTACACCTGGGGCTGGTGAGATGGCTCAGTGGTCTGGAGCACCTACTTAGAACAAGCTTGGCAAAGCCCAGGGACCACGGTTCAATCCCCCAGCACCACATGCCAGCCAGCCCGCCCCCTGGTGGACTGAGCTGGACACACACACACACACACACACACACACACATAAATAAATAAATAAAAAAAATTAAAAAAAAAAAAAAAAAAGAGTAGTACACCTTCACCAGCTGGGGCACATTCCTGTAAGCTCAGCTCTTGGAGGCTGAGGCAGGAGGATTGCTGCAAGTTTGAGGCCAGGCTGGGCTACACAGGGAGACCCTGTTTTAAAAAAAGTAGTAAACTTTCAACATATCTGCTCTTTTTCCTCACTTGTCATTTGCCTTCTACTTGTGTTAATTTTTTCTTTTTAACACAGCAAAGCTTAAAGCTTTTAAATCAGAAATTGATATTTGAGGACCAAGAATGGTTTCTGCCCCACCCTTTGAGGGCGTGGTTGGAAATCCTTCCCGACACTAAGGTCATCTCCGTGTCCACCTGCTCTTCTCGAAGTGTGTGTCCGCCTGGATCACTGGGCTTATGGCGTGAGGTTGGGGTCCCGCCTGGTCAAGCCTTCGGGTAACGCGGCAGCCTGAAGAGCCAGTCAGATGCATTCCCGGCCTTATTTCTGCACTTTTCTCTCTCCTCCGATTTTTCCTCACTCGGGTCCATATGCTTTTAATAACTACAAAGAAAGGCTCTGTCTCCCATCTCTTTCAAAAATGTCTTAGCTGTGGCATTATTTTGTCGAGGCTGGGCCCTCTCCCACCTCCACATCCTGACAGGTTCTCTGGAATTTGTTTGGCTGTCGTCACTCACTCGCAGATGAACACCAGGAGAGTCTCTATCTTCATAATATAAAGTTGTCTTCATCTAGGGCTATTTCTTCAAGTTATTTTAATAAAAGCCTCTCTGGCTTTCATGTATTTATTTTGTTATTGGTTATTCTGCTGAAACTATTTAAACGTCGGAGTCTTCCATTGAGCCACATTGGTTTTCATTCTGTGACATTGGCAGATATGAAGGTTCTGCTCTGACGTGGCCAAAGGTTTTACTGGTCACTTGGCCTCCTGTGCAGTGGTGTTTGCTGTCCCCGCAGGGCTGGACTTCCTGTGGTTGTGGATCTGGTGGGGTGCAGGCCTGTACTCACGGCCACATGGTGCTCTTGCAGGCAGGAGAGCCGCAAGGTGTGGACTCTGCAGCTCGAGGTGCTGAGGAGAAGGTAGATACGAAACACGTGCGCAGCCACAGAGAAGGAGAAAGACCCAGCTTGGCCCCACCGCCACCTGTGAGCACCTGGGAGCTTTTGGTGGCCATATTGGTATGGTTGCAGTTGACGCAGGAATGCTCAGTTGACACAGAGGGGACATGGGGACAGTTGCTTTTGCTGCTGTCCTGGTAGCCCTGTGCCAGCCCTGATTGCCTTCCTGTCCTTGCAGTTTTGTCCTAAAGACAGTTCGCTCAGCCTTCACTGGGCACCTGGCCACACCCAGCCCCCCACAGGGCCAGCAGGCTCGGGAGGACGGGGGCCTTGTCCACAGAGGTGACTGGGTGTGGCCCAGGCCCTGTGGGATGAGGTGCACTGGGCAGTGTCCTAACCAGGAAAGGCCAGGTGGCCCTGGTGAAGCCAGCCAGGCAGCAGGGTGTCTGTGGACGGCGTGGAGGTGGAGGAAGCAGAGCAGCTGCTGGCTCCGGCTGCCAGAGGACAGATCCCAGAAACCTCCGTGGGCCTGGCTGTCCTCCTCTACTTGGGTGGATGGCAGGGAGGCGATGTCCGAGTGCAGTGCCAGGCCACACTGTCCTCCCTGCACCCAGCCCAGCCCAGCCCAGGGCAGAGACCAGGGCAGAGCTCTTCTGACACCCCCCCCACCCGTGTGGTGACATGGGCCTGCGGTGAGGTTCCTCCAGCCAGGCTGCTGTCACTGGCCTCGGGATCTGGTGTCCCATGGACCCCACACCTCCCCAGTGCTCCTCTCTGCCACTCCTCACTGTTCCTCATGACCGTGCCACACCTGCATCCTCTGGTGTGGCCTTGGGTGTGTGTCCCCCACGTCCTGGCTGCTCCAGACAGGTGGTGGGCCCCACATGGGGCAGTCACTCACCCTTGGGTACCTGCAGAGGGGTCTGACCTAGAAGAGGGGCCCCCACTGTCCATGGGAAAGTCAGTTTGGGGACTTCTGCTGCTCGGTGAACCCAGGGCAGCCTCTGGTCTGCTCAATCTGCCCTGCAGCCACTGCTGCCCTGGGGCCAGAGCACCCCGCAATGTTGTGCACACTTTCCCATCTGGGAGGGCTGATCCTGCCCGATTTTCCTTCCACAAGCTTCCTGAGAGCTGCAAGTGAGGCGACGCTGCTGCTCTGGGACCTCAGGGGAGGAAGATCCCAGCGCCCGGAGCCCTGGCCAGCCGGAGGCTGGAGCCGTGGCCAGCCGGAGGCGGGGAGCCGTGGCCAGCCGG